CCAGTCAAAGGCCTTCTCTGGTTCAGTCAGATCGACCTTAAGATCTCCCTGATGCTTATCCCAGTTGAAGACATTTCAAGACCTAGACCGGTTCAGTTAAATCGTCCCAAGATTTTCCTGATGCTTATCCAGTCAAAGGCCTTCTTTGGTTCAGTTAAATCGGCCCAAGATTTTCCTGATGCTTATCCCTTTGAAGACATTTCAAGACCTAGACCGGTTCAGTTAAATCGTCCCAAGATTTTCCTGATTGCTTATCCAGTCAAAGGCCTTCTCTGGTTCAGTTAAATCGTCCCAAGATTTTCCTGATACTTATCCCTTTGAAGACATTTCAAGACCTAGACCGGTTCAGTTAAATCGACCCTAAGATTTTCCTGGTTCTTACCCAGTCAAAGGCCTCTCTGGTTCAGTCAGATCGACCCTAAGATCTCCCTGATTCTTATCCCAGTAGAAGACACCCCAGATTTTTCTCAACGAGCGTTGTTGAAGTTAAAGTCACCCAAGGCTCTCTTACCATTCATGCTAAGGAAGTAATCATCCCTGGTTCTTTCATCGCCGTTTGAAGCTCCAGACTCAGCTCCTGCAACGTGTCAGGTACTCATTTTCTGTTTTGCAGGTATGCAGGTTCTCGCTAAGGAATCTCTTACGCAATCAAACATCCAGATGGCATCTATAAGCCCATCATCCTATCCAACAATCTCCAAATGGCATCTATAAGCCCATTCCACCCTCATTGCTAACATGTGAGCGCAAATTTCCGGGCACTCTAGTGTCCAATCATCTTTTACCCTCGGATTACGAAAGGCACGTCAGCCAATCTGCATCCTCAGGTCTAAGAAGATTGAACAGGGGCAACTGTTATACCCCAAAATTTGCCCTCCCATATTCTTCAAGAAATTGCCAAGCCAAGCTAGAAAATTCCCCAAGGGTTGTGCAGGTTAACTGTCTCCTATACAGTCAAAATTAGGGTTTTGAGTCTGATCAAGAAAAGGAAGTTTTCAAAGGCTCAATCAAGTCTCATATGCTTACAAACATGGTCAAGCATCCCCATTTCAAGTTTCAAGGCATTCAGCTCAAGATTGCACAGTCAAAACCCTAAATTGCACTACAGTCAACTGTAGGGGCAAAATGGTCATTTGGCAGTCAAAAGTTCAAATTTTTGGTCAATATATCATTTTGAAGCCACAAACATCATTTGATCAATGCTTGATCATGATTCTCAAAATTTGGCTCAGAAATCATCAAAGATGCAAAAGTTGCTATATTTGGACAGCTGAAAAAGTCAACTGAAATTGACCAGGGCATAACTTTCACATGGATTATCAGAAAAATTCCATCCAAAGCTCATTTTTAAGAGAAAGACATTTCCTACAACTCATCTTCATACTTCAAGTCCAAGAAATGCTCTCACAAAAAGTTATCAATTTCAACATTATAGGTCATTTTCAAAAGTCAACAAAAAAGGACTTTAAGTCAAAGGCCATAACTTGAGATTGGTAAATAAAATGACATGGGACCAAAGGCATTGGTTAAAGGACTCAAAGACCTTTCCAAAATGTCCAAGAACATGTGAAAAGCTTAAAAATTGAGCAAGTTATGCCTTGTAGAAGTTGGGAAATTTTTGTGAAATGGCAAAAGTCAACTATCCTTGAAAATCCAATTTTTGACAAAGGGGCCCCATTTTTTCCACTTGGTTCATCCTTGTCATGCCACACACGTGTCCCATGGTTAATTTCAAGACCAAATATTGATTTTTTATTTTATTTAATTTTTGATGATTTAATTCATTTTAATTCTTTGAAAATTCAAATAAAATTTAAAAACCAATGGAATAGTGTCATGTGAACTTGGACAATTTCTATGTATCATGAACCAACTCAAGAAATCAGGCTAGGGTTCATTTGCACACTAGGTCTAGGTTTTGGCTAAAAAGAAGGAAACTTGGTTAATGGAAGAAACCCTAAGACCAATTCTCTCACAAGCATGAATTAAGGTCAAATAACTAGCCAATTCCATTCCATGATCATGACTAAGTCAAACCCTAAGCCTAACACCTCATAAGTGGCGCCCAAACAAGCTTTTGGATATTGAAAATTTCTCCTTAAAACACAAATCTGAAATCAGTGCTGGAGGATCTTTCAGGCCTTAATTCCTTTCCCATTAGCATCCAGAGGCACTCCTGAACGAATCTCAATCACAAACAACAACAAAAGCGTAAGGAATTGGTGGATCGTACTCAAACTGTACAGAACTTTTTTTGAAATCGTATTCTCAATTCCAAGCCTCTTCATTGCATTTCAAACATATATCCTTGTTCCTTACAAAGTTTCTAAGCTCTCCATTATATTCAATTGCATTTTTAGTGATCATACGTGATTCCACCATTTTCATGTTCTAGGGTTTTGTAGAGCTTAATTTAGGGCTTTTGTAAATAAGAAAAATCAGAGCTCAAGACCATTGCCATCACACTCAACGCATCTGGACGAAAAGATTCATACACTCGCGCCTAATTTATATTTGGAAACAAGCTAATCGCTATTTTTCTGTAGCTAGCTTTAAGCCACGCATGAAAAACCGTGGCCAATGCGTTTTGTTTTTTACAGGGATGAAGAAGATGGTGTCGTGTCACACAGGGACAGGTCCATTTAAATTTGCGCGCGTTTTGATGACTATGCATTGGTTTTGTTTTTTATTATTTGTTTGCCATAATATATTAAATGAAGTACAAATGGCTCAGTGGCCAGGGATACGCGCATGTGGCCTTCAAGACCTGGGTTCAAGTCCCAGGTCTACACAATTTCATATTATTTTTCATTTCCAGTTTCCATGCAGCGCTAACATTAAAGCTTACCATGCACATTCAAGAGGCATTGTCCACGTGTCCCAGGAGGTCTATCAAAGGGTTCAGAACCAAGGCATATGGTGGATGTCAGTCAACATGCCACACCTGATCAAAAAAGTCAATGGACTTCAAGCAAATGGGCCAGGCTTTTCAAATCTGAACCTCACAATTCTGGGGCCACACCCCCCTGGTTTGCTCTATTATTATTATTTTTATTCTTTCTTTAATTTTTTCTTTTATTTCTTTTACTTGCTATTTATTTAATTAATAAATTTTTTTACAAAAATATAAAAACATCATAAAATCAAAAAATGCCAAATATATAATTTATATTATAATTATTTTCATAAATAATAACATGTAAATATTTAGTTTTAATTAGGTTTTCAACTTTAATTCCTTTTAATAAAAATCAAAACAAAAACATAGAATTAGGTTAATGACTTTTTCCTTTTAACTTTCCTTGTTTTTTGCCATAGTATTAGTGTTTTTCATAATTAAACTAGGGTTGCATTTTAGGTTAGATTTTAATTCTTTTAATAACTAAAATCCAAAAAAATAGAGTTTAGGTTTAATAACTTTTTATTTTCTTTTTTTATTTTCCTTTTTTTTCAGAATAATAATATTATTTATTTATTTGCATAAATTAAAAATTGTACATAAATTAATTTAGAATTAAATTAGGTTAGAAATTAAATCTTTTTCTTAATAACTTAAAAAACATTAGAACTAGGGTTTATCACTTTAATTTTAATTAATTTTTCTTTTTTCTTTTAAATCTAAAAACAACAAAAATACCATTTTTCATTTAATTTTAATTTTAGATTCCTTGATTAATTTTAATTGGTTGTAAAGGTCCAACGCCCTAGTTTTGTTTAATCTTTTTATTTCGCGCATTTATTTTATATTGTTTAAATAATTCTGTATATGCCCCAAAGCCTTGTAAAGTTATTTCTCGCACTTTTTTATTCGCTTTATTTATTTTCAGTCAAATCGGGTTCGGTTATTTTTGGCGATGTGGACCCGCGCCAGTTGTAATAGTTTAGATTTATTTTCTTGCAAATATATAACTGTTAATAAATATGCATGAAAGAATGTATGGAGTTAAAAATAAAATCAAGCGTAGATCACAACAAACATGACAAGACAAAATAATTGAAACATGACACACGAATTGCACACACCACCCCTAGGGTACGCCTCACTGTTGCCTTTCGAAAGGTGATCATCGAGTAGAGGATATTTTAGTAAGTCCTTGTGTCCATTGATCTAGTTGCCTAAAACAAAGTTGCCTCGAATAAGTTGCCTCGGAATAAAAGATCAATGGCATAAGGGTAGCTTCTAAAGGGTCTTCCCATTGCTCTGGTGATCACCATGCCCCTAAAACTCGAATTGACCCGAACACCTCTAACGGTGGTGCTACCTACCTCTCAATGGTGGGATGGCACTACTTTAAAGGACATTTACACAGACGAATTCCTTAGGGTAGGTAGGTTCTCAAGGATACTTGCTCTAATTTCAAACAAAAATACTTTTCACACCAACACTTTTTCAAAAGCTTTCAAAGCAAATTTTTCAAACACTCTGACGTACGAGTCGAACTGAAATTTTTCAAAGAAACTTTTTAAACCCACATTGAAAAGCAAACAAACCATTTTGAAAACACATTGAGCAAGTATCTAAGAGCCCATGGATAACCATGGATAGAAAGGGTGCTAACACCTTCCCTTTCTATAACCTACCTCCCGAACCGAGAGCAATCTCTATAAGGATTTTTTCTGTGCTTTTGTCCTTTCCATTTGGAGAAAATAAAAGACGGTGGCGACTCTTGCTTCCGCGACATTTCGCGAACCAGCGTTAAACAGTCAGTTCCAGATCCACCGATCACAGTTTCCATAACTCATGTTTTTGTAATACACAAGACTTGGGAGTTGAGAAGTAACTCTCCACATATCATGTTCTTTACTTAAATAAAATTAAAACAAAACAAAAAATGAAGGTTCTCATCAATTCAGTTTTGATATATTCATAATGATGGCCAGTGTTATTGATACTTTTTAAAATGCTAAAATAACAAACATTTTTTCTACCAAGTTAAATGGGGAGTATGCAAACTAAATGTTCCTTTCTTTATTACAAGTATGGCGAGACAAAAAATATATCAGAGGTATAACCTGGAGACACTGAGAGATATATGAAGAAATATCTTGACCATAAAGAAGAAGGTTAAAAGAAAGATAAAGTTTCCAAAGAACACATCCATCATCATCTGCTAATGAAAACCATAAAACATTAATCAAAGTTAGCATAAAATTCAGAACCAAGTAATTGAGGAAAAAGTTATTTCAATGTTCAGTTAACTTAACCTTGCAACACATTGACACTAGTGAGGAGTAGCTCATTGATGAACTCGATTTACTTTTGCTGCTTTCCAAAATCAAATATCTGTCTTCAACAAATTGTAAGGTCCTCATATTTGGTTTTGAAAAACAACAGCTAGAATTTAAGCCTTAAGGCATTAAAATATAATAAAATTCCATATGATAAGATGATAAGAATGGATACATGCATCAAAAAGAAGAAAAATGGCAGCCAATTTCCAAAGCAGTCCCTGCAAAATTATTAAAAAGAAGCACTTGTGAGTATTGAGAAAGGTGAACGATAAGACCACTACAAAATGATCAGTAGATAAATAGGATCTCATTATTCTAAACCCTATGCATGCATTTTGTTAAATACTTTAGCAAGTAAGGTGCTATTAAGATCATTGTTTTGTGAATATTTATTTAGAAAATGGATTCTCTAACTAAGAAACATGCATATTTTTCAAGAAAGTTCAACTTGACTATAAGAAAAAACAAGTGCCTCTGTGCACATAGATAGGGCAAAAGTACAAGGATCTGTTGCAATATGTCTATTTTGTTTTCTATATTAAACAAATATTGACGAAACATTTTTCATATTACATTTAGTATCTTAAAACTTTTAGGGTATGTTTGGGAGTTGGATTTTGAAGGGTTTGGGAGGGGAGGGCTAAGTCTATCTTTTAAAATATATTTGATATTTCAAAAAAAATGAAAGAACAAAATGATAAATAATCATATAATACTTCAATCACACTAAATTCATTTGAAACAATATTGTAGTGTCTTTAATTTAAAAGAGTATAGTACCTTTTAACACTTTTAGGATTCCTTAAAACTAACTACCTAACTTATTGGATATTTTATTTATCCTAGTTCAAAATCTAAGGCTTCACGTTTTCAGTTGGAAAGTTGTCTTAATTGTGTCACCCTTGTTTACCTTAACTAAATCTGGTAACTATGAGTTACTTTTGTTGCAGCCTCCAGCACCTTCATTCTGTTGGATGTCAGAAGATGTGTATGATACCATATCGCATACAAATAAGCAGTGCTTTGACTTGAAAGTTCTCACTTCTCATCTTACAAGCTAATTTTAATAGCTATTGCCTTTTACTATGTGATAACAAATAACAAATGCGGATAACAGCAGTGATGCTGAATGAAATTGCCATTTCTTTCAAAAAAATGAAATCAAGGGGATTTGTGCAATATTCAAAATTGTAAAAAAATCACTTTTGTCATTCACTAAAATATACATGAACACAACTAAGCTCACACAAAAAATTAATTATACAGTAGGAAAGTGCACAACAAATCACGGAGAAATTCATATACCTGAAACTTCAAGGTTTCTTGATTGATGACATTGTAAAGAAGATGTCTATAGGCCTTGGGTTTGTGAAGTATTAAATCTATTATAATAATCTACAAAACAGAACGGGAAAATGATAATACTTTTCAAAAGATTTCATCTTTGAAGTAAGCCAGTGACATGAACAATGAGCTACGCACCGTGATTTCACATTCTATGTATTCATCTGCCACAGCCTTGCAATTCTCCTATCATTACAAAAATGTCTAAAAATCAATTCACAATTTAAAAACTAATTGAAGACAAAATGAAAAGAATAATACAATTGATAACACTTACACATTTCATCAAACGAATGTTACCCGGAGAATACTGAAGATAAAGTGTTTTGATGGGAAAACCACATTGAATACATCTATAACCCATTGGTGATGATAAAGTTAAATCCAAAATCACAGCTTCGATTCAAAAATCTGGAATTGGGTACTGCAAACAAGAGAAAAAGCAACATCAATTGCTGATTCTGAATAATAAATCCCAACAAGAAAATTCATAATTAAGCAATTAAACATACAACTATAACATGATCTTGGAATTGAATCAAATTTTCTCAACAAATCAACAGAGTAATAAGGGTTATCAAGTTTCTAAAAACTAGGGTTTATGACAAAAGAGGGAATTCGAGAAGAGAACTGACCGGGGACAGAAGAGATTGAGAAAGCGACGGAGAACTTCTTTCTCGTCACTATTGCCTTTTCCCATTCCCGGGGGTCGGCTGCTCCGCTCCGCTATCCGGGATTAATAACTCTGAATTACTCCCTCCGTTTCACAATGACTATCGTTTTAAGAAAAAATATTTGTTTCAATATGAATGTCATTCTCACTTTACAATGTAAAAATGATTATTATTTTTCCAATTGTGACCTTTGATTATTATTCTGTACACTACTTCCAAATAAGGTTAATTTAATAAAAGTGCAATGTCTTATGACAATATTATTGTACTCTTTGATCTGTGTACAAAAAACTTAAACGACAGTCATTCATTTTAAAACTGAGGGGGTAAAATGAATAAACTATATGGCATAAATACTAACATATAATGAAAACTAGTATATTTTCTGATTAATATACCTCCAAATAAATCAAGATCCACAATCTTAATCACCTCCTAAATCCAAGTTGCTTACTCAATTTAAAAAACATAGTATACAAATAGTAGCTTCATTTCAAAGTCCTATTTTATCTAAAATTACTAAATAAATTAACTAACAGTAAATTGCTTTCATAATGGAATCTAGAGGCACAAAAGAATTATTCAATACTTGAAAATTAAATTTGATATTTAAAATTCAGTAAAAGAGTTCAAGTTGGACTTAGAATGAAATAGAAATTGTGGTTTTAAGAAAAAATAGGAAAATGAAACTTGATGAAGATCCGATATGGATAGGCAAAATGAACAGTCCAGTGTGAAACAGAATGTGTTAATTACACATACACCCTTCCAATCAGATATTCTAATAATCAATTTCAAGGTTCACCAAAATTTCTAAAACTAGGGTTTATGACAAAGAGAGAAGGAACTCGAATTTGATGTAGAACAACAAAATTGATAACCTCATAAGCCACTAACACAACTATACAGTAGCTAAACTGCATATCAAGTTCATAGATTGAAAGAAAAACATTAGGATCTAAATGTCAAGACTAGCGAGAAGAGAGATAATGAAGAGAACTGACCGGGGACAGAAGAGATCGAGTAAGCGACGGAGAGCGGTACGAGGCGGTGTTAGGTCCTCGACGGCGGTGTTTTTGAGCGGCGCGATTAGTAGGGAAGAGTGAGAGATGATTGTAGGGTTTCTTTGTCTTTTGTGGCAGTTTGGAGAACGTGTAAAATGAAATGTACTATTGAGTACTGATGAAGAGTTCAGAAAATCGTGAAGTGGCAGTTTGAAGTGTACCAAATGTAGAGAAAAAACGAGAGAAGATTTTCTACCTTGTGCGGATGTAAATGACTACTTCTATGTAAGGATTCGTGATGCGGTTTACATAGGTTTTAATAAAATAAAAAATCAATAGATATAAAATAAGATAAATTTATTTCCGATTCGTATTTTGAATTTAATCCGATTTAAATGACTACATGTTATGTACTTAGAATGTTAAATCTTTTGAGAGAAAGTTAGATCGTCTATATAGTCTCATAAGACTTAAGAGATTAGTCTTTCTAGTAACGCGGATAGGATACTCTAGTTTATACTTTAAAAAAATAAGCATTAAAATATATACATGTAAGTCGATTCGGTTTGAATCGATTTTAAAATATCAATTTAAAATTTCATCTGATTCGAACAGTTTTTACAAAATGACATTCAAACACATTCAATAATATTTATTTTTTGCGTTTTTTATATATATTTTTAAATAGTTTACGATTAGTTTGAATTTAAACACCCCTACTAAAATGGAGTGACATAAAATAATATATTTATACGATGTTATTCTTTAAATAAATAAATTTCCACTAAATTATCTCTTTTCCTTGTGAATTTAAAGGCAACGACGAGTCAGGGACACTATTACAAACATCATAAGCGTACGGTCAAAGCAATTAAAGCTTCATCACAAAAGACTCGGGGATGATGTCACAAATACCCCCGACATTTGACTAAAACAATCCCCTTACAATATCAATGTATTGAGCCAAGTGATAAATGTAGGCTCACTCCTTTTTGGCACCTAACCACTTAAGAGGCAGTCCACAATATGCAGACCTCGAATCAAGTTTTCACTTGGGGCATGTAAGAGGTATCGACTCTTGGTTAGGCACGAACACCTGAGACATCTAATAAAACTTTGAGCACGATCTTAAAAGATAGTAGAAATGAACTTAGGACTGAAAGCAATACCATATAAATAGGTTAAATCAACAGTAAGTAATAAAGACGGAAATATACAGTGTCGGGCAGGAACCATAAAGATTAATCATTCATTGGATACATATATATCGGGCACATACACTCCATAGAAAAAATACAAACGCGTATATGGATAATCCATCAATAGAACTAGCTTATAGTCTTCCATCTCTTGGTCAAGAAAGACTCGCGCTCGAGAGATAGGCCTAATGGGATAAAAATATCCAACCAACCTAGTGTAAAGCACTTTCAAAAGAGTCTTGCGTAATAAAATAATTTTCTTCCAATGACTTCACTTACTCTTTCGACAAGGCAAGATTCTTGAGACGCGTCTCATAAAGACCATCTTCAGCCTTTTTTCGACCTTCTTAAGACTCATTTAAAGACGTCTCAAGCTCTTATATCCTTTTTCGAGCAAACTCAAGGGACATATTTGCTTCATATAGAGCGACATCTCCCCTAAATAACGATTCCCAAGTGAAAACTAAAACATCATTATTCTCTATCACTTCATGAGCAAGCAACATCATCTTCTCAACTAGTGTTGGGAGATCTGAAAGACTCAACAATAACTCATACGCCTAAAAATGAGGTAAACACTTCTCGGACCTCTCCTAAACAATGATTTTGCTCGATGGTAAGGATATTATAACATTCCTTAAGTGTCTTTTTCTCCTTCTAAAAAATTTCAAGAAGGAAGACTTATTATTGCTCGATAGCTCCAAAGGACATAACTATAATGCTCGACAGATGTAGTACGTCAAAATTTTATAACTCTTCATAGTGAGATTATTTAGATTTGTTTGAAAAATAAGAATAATCTTCTTTAAAAATGGAAAAATAGAAATTCATAGGCGTCCACTAGGGCAAGCTAGAAGTGCAAAAGATAACCCAGTTGAAGCCAACACATGTTCCTCAATAGACCTCAACCAAGGAGGCTTAATAAGCAATATGTCTACTCAAAGTTCCTCAAGATCAAGACTATGCCCCAAGTCTCTTTCATTGTTAGGTTGTGAGGTTTTTGAAGCATCTTCCACCACGACACGGTCAGATGAATCTTAAACTTCCACCTGTGCTAGAATAGGCACACCCTGGCCCACCATATTGGTAACGACAAAGGAATAGTGGGTTACCCTGATGACTTTTTTATTTGTTGCAATCTTTTCACGTACATGTTATATAAGGGGTCATAGAACAGTATTTAAAACAGGATATATTTTTATCTTACTTATCAAAAATATATTTCTTATCCTGTTATGATCCAGCTTCCATAAACAAGTGTGTTCTATGGGCCACATTAATTATTTCTTTGTCACTACACCAAAAGGGGTAACACCCCCGGTGTAACCTAGAGTCTCACAGAAAGACATCATATATCTCTTTAGGAAGATATTTTTTTAAAATTTTATTTCTCAGAGGACATATGTCAAACATGATGCTCCGACAATACGTTCGACAAGATAAATCAGAACCAACACAATTATAACAGAATAAGTTGTTTAAGTTGATGGAGCTGAAAAACGATAAATAACCCAAAAAATAAATAACCTAGTTCGGTGAAACCACGTCTACATCTTTATAAAAAAGTTGGAAGAATATTTTTTAAATTATTGATTTATAAATATCAACAACTTGTTTACAAGTGAAAAAAATGCAAAGAAATTTTGTTGTCAAGAATTAAACCCTAGATCAATAGCTTGCATCCATCTAATTCAACTAGCATTTTTAATTGAAGTACCCCCAACAACTTCAAAGAAGAAAACAAAAAACTAAGAAATTGATGCAATCTTGTGTTGTTAGGCCATCATGTCCTATGAAGTCAAACCTACTCAAGAGTATATGACTTAATTTAACTTTATTTATGCAATCTTGTTATGCCATAGCATGTCCTATGAAATTAAGTCAAGTCAAGACTATATTTAACTTTATTTCAAATACATTTCTATCTACAAATCAACAACTACATGCAACTCTGTCAATAACATCCCTTTTATAGTTTGGGTGCAAATACATTTCTATCTAGAAATCAACAACTACATGCAACTCTGCCAATAACAACCCTTTTATAGATTATTTATAATAACCAATCCATATCTAATCTATAACTATTTATCATAACCAATTGTTATATTCTTACAAACTGGTTATATCCATAATCAAATTTTATAATCAGTTACAGATTTCTTAACCAGTTTTAAAGTTTATAACCAATTTTTAACGTGAAACCAGTTTTAGACGTACAAATTTAGTTTTTAGAATTGGATATTGTTCTGGACTGGGCCCGGTTGGCCCAAAAGCAATGGTAAAGGCCCAGTCTAAACGGTCTTGCGAAGGGTCACGCCGACCAAGAGGTACATCCTTGCCCGACATCTCCTGCTAGTACGCTGTCCTCGACTCCACACTAACCTGCTCGACCTCAGCTCGAGCACTCCTCCTAGACAGACTCTATCCACTACGCCATCACCTGGATCCTGAAAAGACCGCGTCCTCGTCCGTCCGTACTTCACGCAGAACATCCAGGAAGGGGACCACGTGCGGGTCCCCACTACGCACATAGAACCTGGCAGTTCCTCCATTGAGCCAAACCTGCCCGGCCCAATGAAGGAACCTTGGCCCAGCGCTGGGGGATATAAATACCCTCTGTTCCCAGAGGGTCAGGTATTCATTCTTTTACCCACACTCATACTATTGCCTACTCGTGCTCTTACTTACTTCAGCATCGGAGTGCCTTGCAGGTACCCTCCTGTGATACGGTGGGAGAACTGACTTGAGTTTTGCGTTTGTTTTCGCAAATGTTTCGGTTGAGCAAGAGTCGCCACCGACTTTTTATTTTATCCTAAGGAA